ATTTCAGTCGCCCCCACCCCCAGTGGCACAGCGGTATGTCTGTGGCTTACAACGCTAGAAGCAGGGTTTCGATACCCGTGGTGGACAGAGCACAGACAGCCCATTGCGTAGCTTTGTGCTTAATTACAATTACAAACAAGCATTTCAGTCTGCTTAAAATAATAGTTAAAACTGCCCACGGAAATGTTTGTGAGATGTTTGTCAGTATTCTAGGATATCGAACAAATAATACGTTATTCTATAGATGATGAAGTAAGTCTGAAAATAATTGTACTATTTCTTTACATTCCTTTACTTTCTTTATCATGATAAAAATAATTTATTTAAGCTTGGATTTGTTGCTATGGCATGGAAAATAAAAACTGTTTTGAAATCCAATAAATAGAGTTAAAAATATGAAATCACTATTTTTTTTTATAATAGTAACACCAAATAAAGAAGTATACTCTAAGGACTTTTAAAATATTTGGAAAATTACTCATTAAATTAGCTAGAGTTAAAAGTTTGATTTAATCTTCCACCACAAAAATGATACAAATTTCTACATCAGTCTCAGAATTGCCGGCGCTACGCCTTACGTAATGCTTGCGTCAGCAATTGGCGAGACCCTGGATTATTTGAAACAGAGTGAAACATTATACGATATATTTTGGTTATCACTTATTCTGCTCATATACAGTTTTTAACCCGATTGTGTAAAATGTTATATGATATATCTTGGTTATTACTTATTCCGTTCATAGACAGTTTTAACCCGGCTGTGTAAAACGTTATAGCATATATTTTGGTTATCACTTATTCCGTTCATATACAGTTTTATCCTGGTTGTGAAAGTTATTAAGTTACACAACAGTACTGTCTTATCTTAATGCTACCGAAGCTTTTGGTTCTTTGTCCGCTGCGGAGATCGATCTCCGAATTTTAGAATTACATGACCCGAAGATTACCACTAATCCTTCGAGGGGCTTAATCCAATCATCTGCTGTGTGAGAAAAACTACATAGTGGCTAACGCAAGTTCCTTTGAAATTCAACGTCAAAATAACCAAATATGAAATAATATACATCCATTACGTAAGACGAAACAATCAAATAATACTTTGATATATACTTACTGTTTAAAATTAAGCACAAAGCTACACAATATTTTCTTAGGGTTTGTTTGTTTAAATTTAAGTACGTAGCTGCACAATATTTTCTTAGGGTTTGTTTGTTTAAAGTTAAGTACGAAGCTGCACAATATTTTCTTAGGGTTTGTTTGTTTAAAGTTAAGCACAAAGCTACACAATATTTTCTTAGGGTTTGTTTGTTTAAATTTAAGTACGTAGCTGCACAATATTTTCTTAGGGTTTGTTTGTTTAAAGTTAAGTACGAAGCTGCACAATATTTTCTTAGGGTTTGTTTGTTTAAAGTTAAGTACGAAGCTACACAATATTTTTTTAGGGTTTCTTTGTTTAAAATTAAGCACAAAGCTACACAATATTTTCTTAGGGTTTGTTTGTTTAAAATTAAGCACAAAGCTACACAATATTTTCTTAGGGTTTGTTTGTTTAAAGTTAAGCACGAAGCTACACAATATTTCCTTAGGGTTTGTTTGTTTAAAGTTAAGCACGAAGCTACACAATATTTTCTTAGGGTTTGTTTGTTTAAAGTTAAGTACGAAACTACACAATATTTTTTTTTGTTAGAACGTACTATACCTTAAAAAAATCAAATGTTATGCCAAATAAGAATCAGAAAAGTTTAAAAGTAATTCTGTATTTCACGGATTCTAAAGGAAACCTATACTGGTTAAAAAAATAGAAAGGTTTAAAAGTAATTCTGTATTTCACGGATTCTAAAGGAAACCTATACCGGGTTTCTAAAAAATAGAAAGGTTTAAAAGTAGTTCTGTATTTCACGGATTCTAAAGGAAACCTATACTGGTTAAAAAAATAGAAAGGTTTAAAAGTAGTTCTGTATTTCACGGTTTCTAAAGGAAACCTATACCAGGTTTCTAAAAAGCAGAAAGGTTTCAAAGTAGTTTTGTATTTCACGGATTCTAAAGGAAACTTATACCGGGTTTCTAAAAAGCAGAAAGGTTTCAAAATAGTTCTATATTTCACAAGTTCAAAAATAAACCTGTACCGGGTTTCTAAAACACACACACACACACACAAACAAGGGTGAGAGATGGCACATAATGCTAACTATGTAATGCATGTTTTTGTGGAAAAAAATTCCTGTATGTTTTAAACACAGCATCTAATCTGGTACTTGAAGAGTTTATTAGATAGATTACTGGTGAAGACGATTCTTAATTGACGTGTTTAAAAATTGAATGTACTAAAACTATTAAGAAATGTAATCGTGTAAAATTCAAAGAAAGTTTAAACAGCGAAATTGTAAAACATACTTATATAATTAAAGCTACAGTATAGGCGTTGCGGTTTGGATATCGGATATTCAAGTTATACTTTCACATTTAATTATTAGTGCATGTAAAACAACATATAGAGAAGTACCTTACAGACTAATATAATATATTTCTGTCTTTTATTCAATAACAAATATTTTAATTCAGATTTTAAAAAAAGCAACAACAAAGATTAAAAGAGGGAGAGAACCATATTAAGAGTCTTATGTGGCCATGCATTTATTCTTCATAACATTTACTTCATAACTCTGGAAACTGGGACTTCCGGAATGCGGAAGTTAACGAACTGTAAAGCTGTTTCCTAACCAAGTATAAAAAGTTGGTGAAAAATTCATAGTTAGTTATTTCACGAATTATAAACAATTATTATATGTATGACAAGGATCGTGAAATATTTGGAAATTAGCCAACTGGAATGTACCAATACTTATCTATATAATTGCTACGTTACATAGTCATAATTCTTGTAGATTATCGTTCTTAATTGCTATCTGTTGTAATTAGTTTCGTTACAAACTTGAAATTAATCTTTTTAAGGTTCTAATCTAGATAGACATTGATTTTCAAAATAATTCAATTTTAATTAATAAAAGATGTGTTTAGTCTACGTAATTGGTTTCGATTCATTAAACAAACGAAGAGACACAAAGTGATAATTAAAACTGATGACAAATAAAAACTTAAATCACATAAAATAGGTATCGGGACATATGTCGTACAAATAAGAAAATAACTTCTTGTAAACATGCTGTTTTCACACATGCTGTTAAAGATAAGTTCCTGAGTTAACTGCGAAGTTGGTAAAAAAAGAGTTTAGACACGACTGATATTTTTAGTTTAATTATTTGAGGTTGTTTTTTAATATATGTTTCTTTACTTCACGACGTTTATTAAATAACTTACGTATTCCCCAAAAGTTTATAGAGCATGACATTCGTGGCTTGTATCTTCGTTAAGTGCTTTGCAATTTAGTGTTTCTCAATTTACTACGAATTGACATTGTGTGAAAGCTTGACGTAATGAGGTAAGTGTTAACTGTCTCGAGTAATAAACTTGTTTTTTTCGCTTTTCATTATCTCATCAGGTATATCGAATGCACTAGCGATTTGGTTCATTATTTCACGTTCTACGCTTATTTACGGTAAGCGTTAAATTCGATTAGAAAAGAGCAAAAATTTAGACTTACGTGAACCCATTTACGGTGGAAAGTATGAAAGCTTTAGCTATTTAAATCATATTTTATATACGGGAATATTCAATATATACATATATATATCTTAGAGTAAAAACAGACATTTGACGAAACATTACAGATAACAAGTGTGAAACTTGTCTGTATTTAGTTGTTTTTAACCGAATTATAAAATATGTATTGTGTTAAAATTGTTAAATTTCCAGAGGAAACGTTTGGACACATTCCAATGAATTGTTCAATTCAAAACTATAAAAAAACTGTACCTCTCGACCATTTGTATTTAAAATAAAGAGAAACAACTTATACTCATATTTGGATGTAATGGGATAGATAGTATACGTGAAAGGCAGATCTAATCGTACATTTATGAACTCATGACGTTTACAAAATTAAGGTTTGATTGCTAACAAACAACAATTTGTGTTTAATACTTAAATTCTGGAAGCGTCGAAATCAACTTCAGTCATAATGATCGACTACAAAATACACTGATTTAAAACTCCTTAGTTTGTATGGTTAATTTGTACGACTGCAGCTGACTACGAGAGTTTTTAAGAAACAAAACAGACACGATGAAATGATTCTGCACACACACACACACACTACACATACACAACACGAAGTAAAATTATCGTACTTAAAAAAACAACAAATAAACTAATTTATGATATAACATATTATTAATACACTGAACATACAACTAAATAAATATATAGTTTCAAAAGCGTTATAATTTTCTTAATAACATTCAAGCTTAACGATCTTTCCTGTATTCCATTTTGGCCAGAGCAACGAGGTCACTTTGAAAGAACGAACAAATTTATACTATGGACGATAGCTGTAAAATCATTGTTACACATTATCATGTGAAGTGTGAAAGAAGGAGAAAGCATTCGGAGTGAGCGTGGCAAAAAAAAAGAAAGTGTAAAAAGAAGATTCATTCGAGGTGATTGTAGTAAAACATACATGAAGGTGCGAAAAAAAAAGAAATCATGATGAAATTGGTATGTAGGTGTAAAACTGGAGAAAAGAATATACGAGTCATTTAAGACAATGTCATTCATAGCTAAATTGAATAATCAATTTTCATCCCAATCACTTGGAACTGTTCCATTTTCACATCTTCACACTACTATAATAAAAACTACTTCGAACTCTTTCATTTTTTTCATGCACACAACGAAGAAATAAGATCACATTCCATCGAATATATACATTTTCTGACAGTAAAATTTTGATTTCGAATGGTTTTAAAACCTTACATACACCCGCCTTAAGAAATACCTATTTACACTGAATAATCCCAAGTTCCATTATTTCAAATATGCCCTTTTGTTTGAATTTGTAAGATGGGTGTATATAATACCTAAGCTTGGGGACTTTCTGCCTATCCAAAATAAACAGATGTATTAATCTTCGGTATCATTCCTCAAGTTATAGTATTATACAGACAAACAGAAACTGGTTTTAAACTAAATAAGTCTCATCTACTGTACGGTCAGTTGTTGGAAGTCTTGAAGATCTTATGTAAACGAAGTCAACAATAAGACTGTTCGGATAGTCCAGCACTCCAGAAGTAAAGACATCTGTCTAATAAATAAGTTTTATACAATATAATTTCAACTATTCAGCTAGGGCAATTCTAATACTTGTGATCGAAAACATGACTATGAATTAAATTTTATTATCAAGTAGAAAAAAACACCAATATGAAGGTCGTTTTTACTAACTTTAATAACATTTTAAAGTTAAAAACATAAATAAGAAATATTAAAAAAATAAAGCTTTAGAAACTTTATTGTTCTGTTTTCACCCATATTGTGTATATAATTCAAAATGGCCACCATTCTATGATCTATTTATTCATAAATTTGAATCGAATAATTGTGATTTATTTCCATAATTGTTTCTAGAATATTAAACCGTTCACAAGTAACTCTTACCTGCTGCTAGTAAAACAAAAAAATATTGCTGCTGAGATGACAGAAAATTAGTGACCTTGGAATGTTACCAGACGACCCTCAAAAACCGGTTGTGTGCGCATCGACGACAAAATCGGAATTCCAAGCACCATCTATAGAAGAATACCAATCATTAAAAAATACATTTGAGCACCATCTATGTGGTAATATTAGTCGTTAACAAATAGATCCAAGCATCATCTGTCGGATAATATCAGTCATTAACAAATACATCCAAGCGCTATCTATAGGATAATATCAGTCATTTTTAAATAGATCCAAGCGCCATCCATAGGAGATTATCAGTCATTGACAACTATACCAGTGCACTAGAATAAACAATCTTAACTGTGCATAAGGTATATATTTCTGTATACCATTTCTTTTGCTACACTGACAGCATGGTCTTGAAAGCCATCCAATTATTTTTAGCAATAACAAAAACAATATATATATATATATTGTTTGATTGTTTCTACCATTCGATTATAGCTACAAACGAGCTATTTGTGTTAGCGGTCCTTAATTTTGAACTGATAGACCAAAAGTAAAACAGCGGACCAATAACACCCATCGCCAACTCCTGGGCTTCTCTAATCGCATGCCTACCCAGTGGCACAGCGGTATGTCTGCGGACATACAACGCTAGAAACCGGGTTTCGATACCCGTGGTGGGCAGAGCACAGATAGCCCTTGTGTAGCTTTGTGCATAATTAAACAAACAAACAAACTAATCGCATAGTGGAACGTGACAGTCACTCTTACAACACACCAACGGCAATAAATTGCGGAAAGCAATTTCACAGGAACGAGAAGTGAACCTTGGGCCTTTAACTGTACAGATTGTTTGTTTGAAGATAAGCACAAAGCTACACTATGAGCTATCTGTGCTCTGCCCACCACGGGTATCTTAACCCGGTTTTTAGCGTAGTAAGTCCGCAAACATGTCGCTGTGCCACTGGGTGCTAACTGTATAGTGCGGTACTCTAGTTCCTAGGCCACACCCGGCCAATATATATATATAAAGAGAGAGAGAGAGAGA